TGATTTTTATTTAGAAAAGTAATAAATAAGTGATGTTTACAACATTTTATCAGAAAGCTAATAATTTCCCATTTGCCCCATTGCTGGTTATGTTGTTTTTGTTATGTTTATGCCTCACTGCTTTGTTGTGGTGTGTGTTAACCTCTGTTCAGGTATAAGTTCCATAACATAAAGGGAACCCATTATAGATGCACATTTCAATTAATTTTGCACATTTTTTTAGATTTGTGCAATAATAATAATACTTTTTAAAAAACATTTTATACCCCCCAAATTCTCTTGCACCTATTTGAAGTCCATCCCATGCTCAACTTTGATACCAACTAGCTTACTTTCTCTCCTTATAGATTTTCCTTTTCTACAAATTCATATAAATTGAATTGGATAATATGTAGTCTTTTCCATCTGGCTCCTTTTACTTAGTAAAATGTATGTGGTTCATTCATGGTATGGTATGTATTAGTAGTTTATTCCTTTTTATGGGTAGAAGCTTGATCATTTATTTATTTCATAAGCTTTTTATAACACCTGTAGATTTACAGAAGATTATTTTTTTCTGTTCCAAGATCCCACTTAAGAATCCACAGTACATCTAATGTTCCTGTCATTTTGACTCCTCTTAACTAACAGTTTCTCAGACTCTCTTAGGTTTCCGAAGGCTTCATGTGCACGAGTCAGGCAGTTTGTAGTATGTTCCTAAGTTGAAATTTTACTAACTCTTTTCTTATGATTAGGCCAGGGTAATAGGATCTTGATTCTTTGTGCTTAGGACAATCACCAAGGTTATGTGCCATTCTCATTGTATCCTATCAAGGGTTTACAGTGTCACTGTGATATCACTGTTGATGTAAATTTTGATCAGCTGTCTGTGATCAGGTTTCTACACTGCAAATTTACTCTACCTTCCTCTGTTCATATTATACTCTGCCAAAAAAAAAAAGAAAAAGAAAAAGAAAAAAAATTGCTACAAGCATCCTGTAGTTAAGAGTATAAAATAATCTCAACCTTCTTGAGTACAGAGTATTCACATAGATTATTAGTATTTTTTTAATTGAATTTTGTTGGACTGGGGTTGTGGCTCAGTGGTAGAGTGCTCATCTAGCACATGCAAGGCCTGGGGTTCAATCCTCAGTACCACATAAAAATAAAAAAAATAAAATAAAGGTATTGTGTCCAACTGCAACTAAAAAAATATTTTAAAAAGTTGTTTTTTGTTGACACATAAAATTGCATGTATTTATGAAAAATTGTGATGTTTTACTACATGTATACATTGCATAATATTAAAATGAGGGTAATAAGTATATCTACCTCTTCAAACATTTATCTTTGTGGTAAAAACATTCAGAATCCTTTCTCTGGCTTTTTGAACTACATGAAGCATTATTATCATATATAGTCACCCTGATATGTAATAGGATTATTCCTCCTATCTAACTATACTTTAGTACTTTCCTCCTTTCCTACCAATTTTCCTCCTTCCCTATCTCCAGCCTACTTCCCTAAGCCTCTGGTAACAACAATTTTACTCTGGACTTCTCTAAGATGACCTCTTTTAGATTCCACATATGAGTGAGATTATATGGTATTTGTCTTTCTAGGCTTGGCTTATTTTACATAAAATGATAATGTCCAGTTCTATCCATGTTGTTGCAAGTGACAGAATTTCATCCTTCTTAGGGATGAATGGTACTCCCTGAGTATATGTACCACACTTTTGTTTTTTTATCCAGTCATCCATTGATGGACACCTAGGTTCATGCATGTCTTGGCTATTGTGAATAGTGCTGCAGTAAACTAGGTACATTGATTTCATTTCCTTTTGACATGTACCCTATAGTGGGATTGATGGGTCATATGGTAAATATATTTATAATTTTTTGAGGGGCCTCCATATAGTGTTCTATTGTAATCAGGGAAATGCAAATCAAGGTTATGTTGAGATTTCATCCCACTTCAGTTAGAATGGCAATCATCAAGGATACAAATAATAATAAATTATGGCAAGTATATGGGGGAGAAGATACACTAATATTTGTTGATGGGACTACAAATTATCTGGAAAGCACTATGGTGATTATGAAAAGAATAGAAATGAAACCAACATATGTACCAACTATTCCATTCCTTGGAATCTAAAAGAAATAAATCATCATCCTATAATGACACATTCATATCAATGTTTATGTCAGCACAAGTCACACTATTGAAGTTATGGAACCAGCTCAGGTGTCCATCAATAGATGAAAGGATAAAGAAAATGTCCTACATATAATAATGGAGCTTTATTCAATCATAAAGATGAAATTATGTTATTTTCTGGTAAATGAATGGAGCTGGAGAACATCATGCTATGTGAAAAAAGAGACTCAGAAAGTCAATGGTCCAATGTTTTCTCTCATATGCAGAATCTAGAGAGAAATTATTTTTAAAAGGAAGGAATTCCATGAATACAGAATAGAGAACAGTAGATGAGATGAAGGAGATCAAGGTGAAGGAACAAATATATTATAATGAATCACACTTTTAACTTAAAGCACCAATTAAAAAATGATGAATAAGCCAAAGGAAGACCACTAGAATAAAGGAAAGGGAGCAAGGATGGTAAGGAGGGGTGGGAAAGTGTAAGTACTAGAGATTGACATGGAGCAAATATTACATGCATGTATAAAAGTGTCAAAATTAAGCCCATTATTATTTAAAACGATACAAAAACTTTTTAAAAACTTAATGTACTGAGTGGTATATAGTAGATGCTCTACTAAAGCCACCAGATCCCCCTTCAGTTCTGAGGCACCCATCCCTTATATTGAAAGAAAATTGGTAGTTACAATTTCTCAGCTAAGTGTTTTTCTGGGAGTTGTCTTCAGTCAAGGCAAGCTGCCTCATCATAATTCATGCACCCTCATCATGTGCAAAGGCAGCTTATACCAATAACTGGTAACTGTGGTGGAATAAAGGCCTGGCACACTTGCCTCAAGGCCCAACAACCCTGAATAACAATTTTAATTTCTTGCAGGATCAATCTTTGTTGTGACTCCATTACAATTCAAGTATATTTACTTCTAAATCTTACTTCTTTCACTTGACCATTGGTGCTAATCTTGAGGGTATGCCCCCAACAAACAAACCCTATACACATCTTAGAATCAGTTTCCCAGGGCCCTCAACTGAGACAAATGTTTATTATGTTATCTTCAGAAAGGGATATCCTTAATGTCTAACAAGAACTTATTATCCTTATAAGTAATCAGGTAAATTGACATAAGTTAAATAAACTAATCAGCACTTATGGTTGTGGGCTGAAGTCTCAATGTTAGTTTCCTTCAATAAAAATTCTAGCAGGTTTGTTTAGCTGGAAACTCCTAAGTAACTTGAAAGTTTACATGAATAAAAAGATCACAACTTTGGATATCTGTGAAGCCAATTATTCTGATCCAAGAATAATTTAGTCCTGCTAAATTCCAAGGGGGAGTGATAGAAATCTATCAGCCTTAAATGGTCCCATCCTTGAATGTAGGTAGGGCCCTGAGGCATGGAGTAAGGAACTCTTTTTCTTGTCACAAATATGAAGACTTGCCCCAAATAATATTTCACTCTTCCCCCAGGTAATGACTAATAATGGAAAGAAAAATATATCAATCCCTCTAGTGCCAGTTTTCATAAGGAAAAGGTAGGTGTGGCTCTGTTTTCTAGCCTTCTTTCAGTTAGTTCAGCAGAGAGATGGCTCAGTAGGTCTGAGTTAGCTCAACAGAACAGGCTGTGACCAACAATGGAGTTATCTTTGTTTTAGAGTCACCTAAGTGTCTCTTTCTTTTGATCCCCTAAATATACAGGGCATTACGGTAACAGGGGGCCCTCTGTACAGAACACTGACCACAGTGAACAGCCCAGCTGTGTCTGGACTAAGCTCAGTGTTCTATGAGATAAGGAGAGTTCAGGAATTTTCTGTGGTCCTCTCCATCTTGGCTTATACATTTTGACCTGCATTTTATATCTTTATTTTATGGTAGTTTGGGCCTATATCCATGCCTCTTTTAGAATACATTCCTTAAAAGTTCCCATTGGATAAATAATTGCTAAAAGAGGCTCCCTAAGCCTTGACTAGATTCCTCTAATTAAAAAAAATTCTGTTGTCTAGTTAATAAGAAAGCTTTAAAACTTATTTTCCAAGTGCTCTCCCTGTGTCTTTCTCAAAATTGAATGTAGTAAAATGCCGCAGTCTGGCTGGGCACAATCAGGAGCCACTTGTCAAAAGAAACTAACTTTATTTTTAGAACCACACACGCCAAACAAAATAGCCTCTCAGGAAAAACCCTCAGAGCCTCAACTGCCACCACCGGCTTTCCACAAGCCTCTCTCTCCTCCACCAGCTTCTCTCCACCTCCCACAATCCTCCTGCTCTTGAGGCCGATTGGCTGGGTCACGTGGGCGGAGCCAAAAAAGTCCCCCAATGAGCAGCTCTGTGGTCTGAAAGGGCAGGGAAACAGCCCAATGAGCATCACCGCAGAGGAGCCAATCAGCTAGATGTTGCTGGGGCCGAGGAGCCAATCAGCTAGATGTTGCTGGGGCCGCTGTGAGCCAATCATCAGCCAGCAGCTGGAAGTTTGCTGGGGCCCCTTTGGCTGTGGCTCTCAACAGTAAAACTTTCAGGAAGAAAATAGAACTGATGGGGAAACTTTAAAAAGATGATATCAGTAGGGTTTGGAGTGAAAAAAGAAAACTTTAAAAGTTATTTACTTGGGTAATTTTCAGGGCATGATTTTTTTTTTTGTGTGTGTGTATGCGTGTGTGTGTGTGTGTGTGTGTTGCTGGGGATTGAACCCAGGGCCTTGTGAGTATGAGGCAAGTACTCTAGCAACTGAGCGATAGCCCATATGACTATTAATAAGAACAAGGATTCCCCTAAATCTTCCCAGCAGTAGCCTGATGTCTGGGAAAGATTCAATTAGGAAATATATGAAGGAACACACCTTGGCTCAGATATCACTTCAGTTTGAGGCATGTCATGTTGGAGCAGGTTTGCTGCAATCAGAACACAGAGACCTTTCAAGTGATACAAATGTAAGCTGCAATTGTACTTGAGCATAAATCAGAAGTTTTACTGTTTTCTCCATGAAAAGCTATTGATTTTTGATTGGTAGGAAGAAAAGTTTAGTTGGCACATAATATAAGCTCGGGTAAACAATGTGCTGGCTTGGACTTTCGTGGAAGTCTATGCTATTGTAGAAGCATTGCTGAACTACCTGCAGACACCAAGGGAATCATTTGAAAAATTTGGAAAGAAATTTTCTCTGTATTCTGGAGCTCAAGTAAGTGATCAGAATGCTGATGGTGGTTGGGGACAAGGATATTTCTTCCTCCCTAAGTCTAGCCTTTGGATTTCTTTTAGCTCTACCTCTGTAAGATCTCAACAATCTTTTTTATCGCAGGATAATGATATCTGGGAAGTTAGAAAGCTGACAGGCAATGAACTGCTTTAAAAAAAAGATCTGCTTTCAAATTCCTTATTCAGATTGCTGATCTAGAAGACGTGCACCTTACCTAGTCTCTTAAGATCTCAGAGTAAAAAGAGTGGAATCAATGTTTTAGACTTGGTAGTGACCATGGTGGGTGTTCCAGTTAATAAGATTCCTCTCCTGAAATACAGATGGGTCAGTTAATAAATTTAAATGTTCACTAAAAAGTTATTACTAATATTTTAAATTATATTTTTAAAAATTAGACATTTTTAATTTGTTTTATTTGTACATCATACATTCATTTTGTTTATTTACTTTTATGTGGTGCTGAGGATCAAACCCAGGGCTTTGCAAGTGCTAGGTGAGTGCTCTATGGCTAAGCCACAACCCCAGCCCAAGACTTTTTAAAATGATTTATTGAGGCATAATTTACATAGAGCAAACTGCATTATATTTAAGAATAACTTAAGTTTTACTTATGTATACACTTACAAAATTATTCCCGTAGTCAATATAATGAACATATTTATGGCTGCCAAATTGTTTTCATGTACTTTTTTAAATGCTTTATTTCCTTCCTCCTGTCCCCAGATAACCACTCACTTGCTTTCATAAAGATTATTTGCATTTTCTAGAATTTTAAATACTTGAAATCATACTATGTGCATCATACAATTTTTTTTGTCCAACTCCTTTAATTCAATGATCCTGTTGAGATCCATGTGTGTTGTATATAAAATTAGTACAGTTCTTTTTATTGCTATACATATTATATTGCATGGATGATGACAACTTTTTCATCCATTTGCATCTTAATGAAGTTCTGAGTTATTTCCAATTATTGTCTTTTACAAATAAGGCCACAATGAATGTAAATGTGCAAGCCTTCTTGTACTCTTATCACTCTTATAGTTTGTTTGTAAACTAAATATCTTTCATAGATTCAAGATTTCGGTGAAAGATTTTGAATACATGCAGATGGCAATGGAGGGAGATATCAGAAAACCTATCATTTAGAGATTATATCTCTTTGGAAAATTAGACCTGCTTTTTCATGGTATGCCAACTTACCTACACCCATGTGAATCTTCTAATGGAGAAGCATTGTTGATACTTGTTTGTCGTATTTGTCAGATATGTAAAATAATAATATGCAAAGCACAATTTCTTCAAATATTTTCATATTGGCTGTATAAGTACCAAATAGGCCTATCATTTTTATTCAATAGTAGAGAGATTTTGTTAGTGTCCAGGACCACAGGAATTTCTTCCTTCAGATTTTGACTCATTTTTGAGCAGCACACATGGCTATGATTTAAACAAAGCCCTACATTTCCCTTTAAGATATGTATTGTTTGAAACACTTTGCTGGTGGTGTGTGTTACTGGGTTTATTTGGCTTACAGACCTTGTGTACCAATTCACGTGTTTCTGATTTTAATAGACTTACCAGACAAAATATAAGATACCCAGTTATAATTGGATTTCAAATAAACAATGACTAATTTATAAGATCCAATTTTTTCAAAATGTTATGGATTGTTCTTTTAATGTCTAAGAACTTTTTGCCTTACACAGTTTATGCTGATTTTGTTTTCTTCCCAAAACTTCATAGATATATATTTATATCTGATTCATTAAAAAAATTCATTATAAGTTGCAAAGCTTATATTCTTTCCTTTTTGCATATGAATGTCTCAATTTTTTTCCAGTACCATATTTTCAAAAGACTATTATTTTCCCACTGAATTCCTTCTGCACTAAACACAGCTAAGTTATATGGGTTAATCCACTAAGTTATATGTGGCTCTGTTTCTCCATTCTTGTTCTGCTCCATTAAGGTATCTATCCATTCATTTGCCAATTCCATATTACTTTGATTAATGTAAGTCTTGAAATTGGGTTTTAGATTTCCTCCAACTTCATTCTGCTTTTTCAGAATTGTTCTGGCTATTCTAGTCTTGTCTTCACATACAGATTTTTAAATAAACTTGGAATTGACCAAAAAATGTTGGGGGGTCTTAGACCATCCTGTGCTGCTGTAAAAAAATAAATAGTCTGGTTAATTTATAAACAATGAAAATTTATTTCTGGAAGCTGTAAAGTCCAAGATCAAAGTCTGTCAATAGCTTGTGTGGTGTCATCCCATGGCAGAAGGCAAGAGAAGCAATGAGAGAGAGAGGCCAAAACAGGCCAAACTTGTCCTATTATAATAAATCCACTCCCATTATAATAAACCCACTCTAATAGTAATGACATGAATTCATGAGACTATAGCCTTCAAGGTCTAATCACATTTTTAAGGTCCCTCCTGACTCTGTCACAAGGGCAATTAAATTTCAAGAATTTGGGAGAGCACATTCACATAGCAAATGGGAACATGGATTAGCTCTCCAATTTAGATTTTTTTTCAACACTGTTTTGTAGCTTTTAGCACAATGAACTTGCACATATTTTGTTAAATTTATACCTCATTGCTTCAATTTTCTACCATTATAAATAACATTTAAAACAAAAGCTTTAAACTCCAAATGGTCATAATTTATGTATAGAAACACACTTGGCTTTTGAATATTGACCTATAATTTTCAACCTCGATAGACTCACTAATGAGTTCTAAGAGATATTTTGTATGTTCACTGGGGTGTTCTACATTGACAACTATGACGTATGTAGATAGAGATGGCTCTCTTTCCCTCTTTCTGATCTGTGTCATTTTGCACTGGCTAGTACTTCCAGGACAATGTTGCATTAGGGAAGTGGGATAGGATGTTCTCTCCTCATCCAACAAGGGAACAAGTTTTTTAATTATTGTTGTTTAAAAATATGATAGTAGTTGATTTTTGCCTATTGCTCTATGATGTTAAGGTAATTTCTGTTTCTGGTTTGCTGAGAGATTTGATCATAAATAGATACTTAAATTTGTTAAATGTCTTTTTTGCATCTATGGAACTGATTATCTGTTTTTATGTTATTGTAAATTATATTTATTGACTTTCACATTTTGAACCAACCTGAATTCACTTGTTCTAAGCACAGTCTTATTTTTATATATAGCTAGAGATAATTTGGCAATTTTTAGTTCTGGTTTTTACATCTATCTTCATGAGGGATATCACTCTGTTACCTTATTTTTATTTTAACTTATTTTTGTGGGTTAATATCAGATTTCATAAAATGATCTGTGATATCTTCTCTATATTTCATTATTCCTGTAGATATTCTGTAGAATTAGTTTTAATTCATTTTTTTTAGTCCACCAGTATAACAACCCTGGGCCTGGAGAATTTTTTTCTCAGACTATCAGCTACAAATTTCCTTAACAAATAAATATAGGGCTATTCAAAATATATATTTCTTCCTGATGGAGATTTGGTAGTTTATTTGAGAAAATAACTGGTCCACTTTATACTAAGTTGCCAAATTTATATTCATAGAGTTGTTTATCATTTCCCTTGTTTTTTATTAAATTTCTGTGGGATTAGTAATTATATCCCCTCTTTCATTCCTGAAATAATTGGTTTGTGCCATCTCATTTTCTTAGTTACTATGGCTAGAGGTTTATCAATTTTAACTGCACTTTTAAGAGAGACTTTTATTTTATTTTCTCTATTGCTTTTCTATTGTCAACTTTATTTAAATCTGCTTTATTTTTTAATTACTTTTTTCTGTCTTTAGGACATATGCTGTGTAATTCCAAATATTTCGGGTTTATCCAGATATCTTTCTGTTGTTTATTTCTAGTTGAGCACCATATGGTTCAAGACCATACTTTTAATGATTTCAAATATTTGAAATTATTTAAGGATTGTTTTGTTTTATAGTTTAGAATTTAATCCACCTCGGTTTGCATTTCATATATGTTTGTGAAAATGTATATTCCCCTCTGGTGGGAGAATTCTATAACTTTCAATTAGGTTAATTTATTTGATATAAATCTCCTCTTTCCTCATTGATATTCTGCCTATTTGTTCTATCAGCTAGAAGTAACGTAAAATTATTAACAAGATCTTTTAGTTCAACCACAATTTGGTTTCAGCTATTCAAGCATATGAATCCAAAAATACTCTTCTTATGTTATCATGCACATTTAGGCACCTGTGCCTTTGTGCCTCCCATATTCTTTCTCGCTCTTGATCAGAACAATGTGTGGGGACATGGTTATTTATTGAGCACTGAGAAAGATTATTTTCTAAAAGGAAAGAGTCTAAAGATCATCCATCTTTATAATATTGATTAAATCTTGTGTATCCAGGCAAAATCTACACTGTATTTCATAATCTATGACCTTTTCTCCAGATATGATGGAGCCTGCATCCTCTTATTTTTCTGGATACTATATGTGCTTTCTTCTCTTACAAGTGATGACATCAACTTCAGGTAAGAACATCTACTTTTTTCCTACTCAGTCTCAGCTGTGGAAAGAATCTAGTGCATCACCTTTTAGTGAGTATTAAAGTCAGCACTTCATTGTAATATCAAGAGAAAGACTGAAAAATGGAAATCAGCAACTCTTCTTAGATCCATGAAAAATGAGATTACAGGGCAAACCACTTCCCCCCATATTGGAGACACAGACAGGTGTAAGAATCTACCAAAGCAGCAAACCATAAGCAGAAACCTTTGGAGAAAACAGTACCAGGATTGGAAAATCTAAACCCTAATTATTCAATTGCTAGAGGTTGTATAGACCTGTCTGAGTCAAAAACTCCAGAGAAGACCAGGGCAGGCAGGACACTTGTGCCTTTTACCTCTAGTGTTTCTACCAGGTTCTTACAGTAAATGATTGGAGAAAATTTCTTTGTGCTTCCAGCAAGGGGAAGAGAAAAGTAATCATTTTGATACATACTTGTCTTAAAAAAACATTGTACTCAAGAAAACTATTTTGCCAGAGCCCAACCTATTATAGTTCCATAACCCTAAGTAACCCAGGGGAAGGGTAATATCTAACTTCAGGCTCCTCTATCCATCCTGTCCCACTTAAGAGGGAGCAGAATCCAGGGAAGCACTCATGAAGCTCACTTCCCAAGAGCACAGGCTCACCCAAACTGAAACCTAATCAGAGAATCACAGAATGCTTCTCTTCCCCCCAAACTGTGTCACTTCATCACTAAAAATCTCTCACCAGAATTCTTCCCCCCCCCCCACACACACACACACAAAAAAAACCCGGGAAACATACTAAAAGGCAAATCTATAGTTTGAAGAGAGAGAACAAAACCAGATTCAGATATGATGGGGATTTATCAGACCAGGACTTTAAAACAACTATAAATAATATACTAAGGGGCCTAATGGAAAAAGCAGATAACATTTAAGAATAGATGGATAATGTAAGTAGAGAGATATGAATTCTAAGAATACAAAAGAAATGTTATAGATTAAAAGAAAGAAATATAAAAATTACTGCCAAAAAACTCTCTTAGGTCACTTTTAGAGTTGTGTTATTAGCTCTATTGAATATAAACTTCTGTTTCTATGTAATCTTTTTCATAATGATAGAAATTTAGAAAAATAAACAATTTTTGTAACAAAATCTATAGGTCAAAGTAACAAAGATAGCCCAATAAAATAACTTTCTAAAATGATGTGTTTAATGACTGGAGGTACAAAATAATTTGTAAATATTGAAAGATAAATAGGCTTTATATCAGGAATGTGCAGATGGTTTGGAGCTATCAAAGACCTTATTGTGGCCTAAGATTGAGAGAGCAACCCTGTTGTGGGCTTCAGTGAAAGAATTGTCTCCATAGTGGCAGATGCAAAAATGCATTAAACAGTAATTACAAACAGAGTTATACATGGTCAAAACTGCCTAAAGGAATTTATTTGGAGCATATGGGAGAAGATTGCAATAGAAACAAAGAGGGAGAAGAAAACAAAGGGTTTGACTGATGTGAGATGGTTAGTGGAGCATATGCACCCAAGGATGCATCTGAGTTATCACTGACTCCTTGCTCCTCACACCACCTCTTAGATCCATATCCACAGGGCATCACTGCACTGAAGGTACCACACCCTGAAAACAGTTCTGAGAGTGCTCTTCTGGTGTTCTGTGTGGATTTGCATTGGTCAGTGTGAATCAAGTCAAGTGATCTTTTTGGTTTTTCTCCTTGGAATAAATGAGGTTCTGCTGGAATTGGTTCTACTGAATTTGCTCATTGAAAAGTTATACTAAAATATCCCTTTTTTAGATTTAGAAATTTATTCTTACATTTTTGAAGGTTTTATACATTAACTATGATTTTGATAAAATTTTTAAAATATGTGCTATCATAGTATCCTAATTTTTGTTGAATGCTTTGATCTCAAATTTTATTTTGCCTAGTATACCTATTGTTAGTCTAGGTGTTAAAGCATCAATGTTAACATGATTACTTCTCATATTTGTTTAATTTTAATTGGATATTCTGTTAAAGTTTTCACTTGGGCTAGTAATTCTCTTATTCTCATATACAAAATCAAAACTAAATTCTTTTATAGTGAATGTGTCAAGCTAAAAATGTATCTGCTCTCCCCTTAATTTCTGTGTTGCCTCTTTTTCTTCCTTCTAAAAAGGAAATATATATGAATATTTTAAATTCTTTTATATACCTACTGCGTGGTCCTTCCAAGAAAAAATAGTAATTGTAATTTTTATCCTAGCAATACTACAAAAAAATCCCAAATTTTGCTCAAGTGGTTATAAGTTTTTAGCTTCAAAGCATTATTAAATTTCTGTTATTGCTAATGTACTCTACTGTTCTTCCTACTCTCAGAAACATGCTGAAAATGATAGAGATTATAAAAGATAAATATTAAATTAATACACATTTTTTCTAATTTTCTATTGCAGGGAAATACATATAACATAAAGTCTACAATCTTAATCATTTTAAGTGTATATTTCAATGGTATTAGCCACATTATTTAAGTTGTGTAACCATCCCAATCATCTGTTGAAAGAGGAATTTTCATATTGTAATTCTGAAACGCTATACTTATTAAACAATTTTCCCCATTCTCCCACCTTCATCCCGAGGCAACCACCATTCTACCTTCTGTCTCTGTGGTTTTAGCCACTCTAAATACCTCACACAGGTGGACTCATACAGTATTTGTCTTTTTATGGGGCTAGCCTATTTTAATAATGTAGAATATGTCAGAATTTCCTTTCTTTCTGAGACTGTATATTATTCCTTTGTATGTATTACATTTATATACCACATCTTGTTTATTCATTCATCTGTTGATGGACACATGAGTTGCTTTACTTAGCTGTAAAGGATGCTGCTGTGAACATAGGTGTACAAATATCTCTTTGAGACCCTGCTGTTAATTCAATTCAATGTTACATTTCAGGACATACATACAGCATGCAGTGATCAAAGCCACCATCCCTTTACCTGGTCCCTACATTTCCCAACCTCAAGTGATCACTATTTTGCATTCAAACAAACATATTTTAGCTTCTGTATATGAAAGAGCACATGGTACTTTTCTGTCTGTGTCTGGTTTGTTTTACTTAACAGTATGTTTCAATTTCATCCATTTGGCTAAAAGTGATGGAATTTCATTCATGTTTATAACTGAAAAATATTCTCTTGTATATATGTGTGTGTGTATATATATATATATATATATATATATATATATATAATATATGTGTATATACTATCAAATATATAAGTCACTGACTGATATAGACGTGACTTTATTTTAAAGAGATGTTTAAATGCTAAAATTTCCTAATTTTTGAGTCAAATTAAACATCAACAACAAGGTTACATCATTAACATGGTGTAAAAAGCACAAACAATACCTGCATTTCTCTAATCCAGTATTTCTGCTTCAAGCTTCCTGATTTTTCAGAAATTGTATTGCCCTGAAATATACTATATGGACCTCATTCTCAAAGGGAATTTTCCTCAAATTTGAGATGATGGTAGAGGCTCGTTCCTGGTTCTGATCTTTGTTACAATCTTGGTTATTATGAACTTTAATCCTGAAATAGTAAATATTAATATTCCCTCTTCTATAACCTATTAGAGTAAGCATTCTAATTTCATTGGTGCTATAGTTTGATGTTGAATGGCCCCCAAAGCCCATGTGTTAAAGACTTATTTTCCAGGGTGGCAGTGGCAGTGGCAGTGTTGGGAACTGGAAGAACCATTAAGAAGTAGGACCTAGTGGAAAGTCTTTAGGTCATGAGGGACAAGCCTTTGAAGGGGATAATGGATTTTGGCTCTGTCCTTGCTCTTTTGCTTCCTGTTGATGGTGTGGGCAGTTTAATTCTACTATGACCTCCCAACATGATGTGCTGTCTTGGCATGGGCCCCTAAAACAACAGACAAGGATCATAAACTAAAATCTACACCTACATTTATTTCTTAACTTACTATTTCAAAGAGTGCCACAATTAACATGATCATTCAGGTATTTCTTTTGTATGTAGATTTTATTTTCTGTGAATGTGTACAAAGTACTGGGATTGTTGGATCATATGGTATAAGTTCTTTAAAGGAACCTCCATACTGTTCTCAATAAAGGCTATACTAATTTACATTCATAGCAGCAATGTATGAGAGTTCCTTTTCCTCCACATCCTCACTAGCGCTTATTTTTTTCTTTTTAGATAGCAGCAATTTTAATTGGAGTTCAATGATGTCTCACTGTAGTTTTGATTTTTACTTTACTGATGGCTAATAATATTAAGCATTTTTTCAAATGTCTATGGGCCACCTTTTTAAATTATTTTCAGAATATTCCTGAAACATTCATGGATGAAAATTTCCTAAATTTGATGAAAGACAAATATCTGAGGTGTTCTTCCCCTTTCACTCTCTGTTCTCTTTCTGGAAATCCTAAAATGCATGTGTTGGTCTGCTGGATGATGTCACACATATTCCCCCTTTTTTTCTTTAATATTTGTTTTTCTCCATAATTTGCATGTTTTTGAATTGTATTTCTTTAAGTTTTGGGGGTTTTACTTCTTATAAACTACTTTTGTGACAAGGTTCACCCTAAAGTATAAGCCTAAGGTCTCCTTATGTCTTTTATGATTCTGTGCTTTCTCTGGGCATATGCCTACACTTTGTAATTCTTCCCAGTTTCTTTTGAATGTTCCAGTCCTAACTGTATGGTACTCAAAAAGTAAAAAGAGGAAAAAGGCTTTTCACCACAGGTGGAAAAAGGCTTTTCACCACAGGTGAAAAAAGCCCTTTTTTATTTGGAGAAGGAGGAGTAGGAGGGGGCAACCACAGGGGAAGGTACGATGACCAACCACCTCATTGTCTGCACCTCTGTGATCAGAGGCAGCAATCAGTTATTAGAGCACAGACACCTCAATGCTTGAAGGATAAAGTCCTTTTTCCCTACCTGCTTTGTTCAAGCTGCTCTAGAAACATAACATTGTTTGGGTGGGGAGTCAGATTGCTTGCTGGTGCTTCCTACTCCACCATCTCCCAGAATCCTCCAAATGAATATATTTTTAAAAGTCTAAAGATGTACCATTGGTATTTATAAAAAAATAGAATATTGGTTTAATCTGAAGGAATGTGATCAGAGCTGAACATTCAGATCAGCATAGGTCTACTGGGCAGAATTTGTGTGTCCTTCCAAGTAGTGTCTAGCAACAGGGTTGTTACTGGTTTATGACTTATTTTGGTTTTCTTTCTTCCTCCACAGAGAAGTTGATGGTGACTGTTCCCAAGGGGCATTTGGTGGCTAGAGTAGGAGGACAGGCTGCTCTCAGCTGCCAGTTGTCCCCACCACAAAGTGCAGAGCACATGGAGGTGCACTGGTTCAGGGGTGACAATTCCCAGCTTGTTTACCTGTACAGAGGTGGTCATGAAGTAAATGGAGAAGCTGCCCCTGAATATGTAAATCGTACAGAGTTTGTGAAAGAGGCCATGGGGGAGGGTAAAGTGACCCTCAAAATTCATAATGTCAGCATTTCTGATGATGGACCATACAGGTGTTTATTTAAAGATACTGACTTCAGTGATATGGCCAACATGAATCTTAGTGTGGCAGGTAAGTGTGCTTGTGGAATGTTGTATAACAAAGCCCTTTTGACACAATGAGCTCAAATATGAGGAAAATTATCTCAATGTTTCTTATTTCTTCTTTTCATATTCTAAAAAATTCAAATACTACAAGTACTAACTTATAAATAAAATGTGAATTTGATTCACAAATATTAAATTGCAGATCACATGACTTCCTTTCAACTTGCCAATCCAACCTCAATACAATAACTGTCTTGATGGTTCTTTCTCATTTCCATCAGCATTTGGCTTGGAGACACAGATTCATGTCCAGGTTCCCACTAGTGATGGACTCGTGGTGGAGTGTAACTCAGGAGGGTGGTTTCCACAGCCCCAAATGGAGTGGAGAGACAGCAGAGGAGAGGTCGTTCCACATTCATCAAAATCATACTCCCAGGATGGAGCCAGATTGTTCCACATGAAGATGACTCTTCTCCTCAGAAACTTTTCAGACTGCAATATTACATGCTATGTTCACAACCCTGTAATAGGTGAAGAGAAACAAACAAGTATTATCCTAGCAAGTGAGTGTTCCATCATTAGGGTTTAGTTATCAACAAAACATAGAGAAAAAACTAACGGAATAGTTAATGTTAAAGAGCTTACTAAATTCTCTTTGAATGATTCTTTATCTTTGTTATGGGTTTCGGTAATACAGATGCTTTGGGGTGCTAAGGAGAAGGTTTTAGAATAAAAATAAACAAGAACAATAACAATTCACAGTTCAAAAATACATTACAGCTTTAAAGGCATTTAATGTCCATTACTTTGTTAGACCCTCACAATAATTATGTGTAAATTTATCAGAATTTTAGCTCAGTAACTTGATCTTTCTGAACTATAGTTTTTTCATCTTAGAAATGAATATAATCATACCTCATGGGTTTTTGCAAATCTTAAATAATTAGAAGAAGTAAAAACTTTTTCTTATTGTCATTCAATATTTAGCACTACTACTATTATTTAAAAATTTCTGACAATTCAATAAATGTTATGGTCATTGATAGACAGATGTTGAGAGGCCAGTAACAGCAGTAGTAAGTGAAATGTGGAACTAAACTACAGTTTTCCTGATTACTTGTTCATTGCTCATTCTTTGGAGTCATGATAGGTGGATGTCAAAGGCCATACTCTGTGTGCAATAAAGTTACCCTTAACTAATGCCTCTATAGAGAAGTATAGGAGCAAGGTAATGGACAGGGCAAATGTGCCTTCAGATACCTCTTCGTGGAATCTTTTTTAGCCTGATTGTGAACACAGTTTTTTCTCTTAAAAATTCTCTAATACTCTTAAATAATTAACATATGGACTGGAAAAAATATTGTCCTGACCAGATAGGAGCCTATAACAATGCATTATTTGTGGTATAGCAAGAAAGTTTTTAAGAGTGGGTAAGATTCTGTAAATATTTTAAATGTAGAGCTGATGGGAGTTACTGATAGATTGAATGTGTGATGAAAAAGAATAAAGGAAATCAGAAGGACTCCAATGTTATAACCAGAGTCATGAAAGATGATTTTTCATCTACTGAGACAGGAAAATTTGTGGGATAAAATAAGACCATGCTTATAAGACTTACCAGCAAAGTGTTGATCAGGACTTAGGTGCATGAACCTAAAGTTCGCAGAGAAGACCATATTTGGGACATAATATGAATGTCTTCAGCCTAAAGAGAATATTTTGAAGATGAAACTGGCTAAGATCAGAAGAGCAAAAACAGAACCAGGTGTTCCTTTGAAGATCAGTAAGCTTTTGTACTAAGATCTTTTGTTAGAGACAAGAGAGAGGCTTCTTTTCAATCTACTATAGCCTCAGTGTGAATTCTATCCCCAAGATAAGCTTAATGTTGTACTTGCTCTTTACTCGTCACTACACCATCTCTATCAAAGCCTTTTCATGCTACAAATACAAAAATAAAGAATTATAGACCTGAAGGAGTATCCTGCTTTATTAGCAGCAACTTTCTAATCCATTAGGGACACCTATTGTGGATGTATTGATTTCAAGTTGTTCTGTCCTTTCTTTCAGATGACCTGTTTGATAAGGAGCACCTTACAAAGAAGTTTTTAATTTTATTTTCGTGTTTAACAATCGCTTTGGTTTTGACATACATTTGCCTTTGGTATTTCATAAGAAAAGGTAATTGATACGACAAGGGGGAGGGGAATTATTAAGGACGTTAACTTGATGGATAAGTCATGTGGGCAAAAGTGAATGATGTTTGTCTTCCAAAGTTGGGTCTCATATGGGAAGATATTTATGGCTTGTTCCCCACTTTAGAAATGTTGGACTTCATACCTCTTAAATTCCCAAGACAAGAATGCTTTTAGGGATGAGGTTGGTATAGATGTCTTTTGAAATTTCAGATTTACATTTACTTCTTTTTTTTAAAATTTTTTATTGTTGGTTGTTCAAAACATTACATATTTCTTGATATATCATATTTCACACTTTGATTCAAGTGGATTATGAACTCCCATTTTTATCCCATATACAGATTGCAGAATCACATCAGTTACACATCCATTGATTTACATATTGCCATACTAGTGTCTGTTGTGTTCTGCTGCCTTTCCTATCCTCTACTATCCCCCCTCCCCTCCCCTCCCCTCCCCTCCCCTCTTCTCTCTCTACCCCCTCTACTGTCATTCATTTCTCCCCCTTGTATTATTTTTCCCTTTCCCCTCACTTCCTCTTGTATGTACTTTTGTATAACCCTGAGGGTCTCCTTCCATTTCCATGCAATTTCTCTTCTGCACTCATAAGTAGGATGTTAAAGGATTAACACTTACTGATAGATTGAATGCATGATGAAAAAGAGATAAAGGAAATCAGAAGGATCTCAATGTTATAGCCAGAGTCACGAAAGATAATTAAAAATTAAACACTGAAAATTGAGGCAGTACTATCCTCTTTTAAGAAGCAGTTCCTATATTTTCCAAAGGAAGAAGTAAGAGTTCTATTATTTTAAAGTATACACAATACTTAGGAGACTTATTTTAATTGAGTGTAAAATTACACCAAAGAGACATCAACATAAAAAAGCAACAAAAACCTGAAGAAAAAATAAAAAATGGCAAGAAGGACAGCAATGTATGTGCAGCTTTAACATATCTGGCTGTCTTTTCTGTCCTATGTTTTGCTGGCCTGACAGTTCTGCACAGCCACAGCAGAATCTGTCCTGCACAATGATACAAAGTAGAATAAATTCATCAGTCAACTACTGCATTGTGGATAAAAAGAGCTGCACCTGAATGCCACAAGACAAATAATAGTAAACCATTGCATGGACCAAAAAAAAACTATAGAAACAAAGACAATGATGTTGCTTCTTTTCCCCAAATGAAAGTCCTATGATTCCAGAATTTTCTGAGTAGAAATAGAGTGATGTGAAATGTCAAAGACCCCATTATTTTGTAAAGTGCACCTCAAAACATTCTAATTCTGCCCATGAACCACATACTTCTACATCTCCCTGTTGCAGCTGGTGGTACCTGTGAGGGTACCAGTGTGGCTTTGTCCCTGCCCACAGGAGGAAAGCCCAGTCCCTGATGATCCACTTACACCAGATGCTGACTGCACCATCCTCTTGTGAGAGTCTGGGTCCTCCAGAAAAAGCCCTGAGCTCTTACTCATAGTTAAATTCTGAGCTCATGGGTGAGCCCAGAAAGTGTTCTGCAGGGGAGTCACCATCTCAGAAAACAGGTCTGTTGGTGATGGATTTGTTCAAGTGTGACTTCCGTTTTTAAGTTAAGGAGTTTTAAGGCCATCTGGGTTTGTGTTGTCAGTGCCAAGGTAGAGTCCAGCCACAGAACTTCTTACCCACCCAGAAATGCTTTTTTAGCATTGGTGAGAGGCATGTTTCCTTTTCACATCCAAAAGTTGATGTTTTAAGTAAGGAAAGTTTCCTAGCCACTAAGTCTGGATGTTCCTTTTCCCTCACAGCTACTAGGGGCACATCCACACTCAGGGCCTGAGGACCATCTTCCCTCTTGATCCACTTTAGCTCCAGCTGCTCCTCCTGGATACCCTTTCAAACAGGGATCACGGATCTGTCCATGGGACCTGCCATATTTTAGATGCCACCATTGGTTCTCAGTGTCTCTAATCAGCTGTCTACATGATTGTGTTTTCCCCCAATTTGAGAAAAGAGTAGCTGTGGTGTGAAGAAGCTGTGAACTAATGCAAGAGTCTTGGAAGCAGGTGCCCTGTGTTTTTTGAGTGAAGATATTTCAGAAACTTGAATTCCCTGAAATACTTGTACACTCTCCAGATAATTAAACTTTACTTTTTTTGGTCATTTTCTTCTGGAAGGCGATATAAATCAAAGATCAAATGTTTCACAGAAGCAGGGAGCGGTGACACAGGCCTGTAATCCCAGCGACTTGGGAGGCTGAGGCAGGAGGATGTATAGTTCAAAGCCAGCCTCAGGGGAAAAAAATGAGGCACTATGCAACTCATTAAGATCCTGTCTCTAAATAAAATACAAAATAGGGCTAGGAATGTGGCTCAGTTTTTGAGTGCCCTTTAGTTCAATCTATTACTGCCCCACCCCGCCACACACAAAACGGTTTCACAGAGAAGTTATTCAGTAATACATGGGAAATATTTTCACCATGTCTGTTTAGCTTGTAGGAATGAGTCCCTGGATAGGGCATTTAAGCTCAAGGTGTAAAGTGTGTTTCCTTTACTATTTAAGAAGCAAGCTTTTCCTGGTTACTGAGTCTATGGATCCCAGGCAATTCCTTGTTTTAGCCAACTCAGTGTTGGAACCTAAGCCTGAAACTTGAGAATCTCTAGGAATCTGATGAGGATTCCTAGGACTGCTTTCTTTCTCCCCAGCCAAATTATTATTATTTTTTTCTGGAGTAGATGGCACAAATTAGAAAAAAGAAATATCTTTTAGCTCTGAAAGATCTGCACATCTAGTCTGACTAGGACTTGCCACCATCCACAAATAAAACTCACAGAAGAAGCACTAAATTGAGTTGGCGTGGGACAATAACTGTTTTTTTTTTTTTCAGATAATTATACTTAGGCTAGAGATGTTCCACATTCCTGTGTTCCTCTATGTCAATTTAATTCTTTGTCAATTTAATTCTTTCTCTTCTAGACCATATACCTGAATGTCTACTTACAGGTCTAATTCCATGTTGTTATATGTTGAATTCAATACCTGCTCAATTCCTGTTTTGCTTCATATGCTCTGTGACACTTCTTTTTGTGTATCTGCCATTCCGGACCAGAGGTAAATGGGGTTAGTAGTGGTGTACTCTCTCTTGGTTGCTCTTATTTTCCTAGAAATCTGTCTCTTGGGGTTGTTCAGCCAAGGCTATGTGACAATTTCATCAGCACCAGAGGGATCTGTAGTTTGGGTGGCATTTCAGAGGATCAAATTCCAACATTGAAATTGTTTTGGGTGTCAAGGATAAAAGCTGCCTCTATTACCAGTGTTTTCAACAGTACAGGGAACAGATTTCCTTCTGCTACATAAAAGGAGAAATAAGCATACTGGTTTCAGAAAATATGGTTGAATCTAGTCACTCTTTAAGTATTTTTTCTGGGTCCACTTACTTGTTGGTGAACATTCATGACTCCAAGTCAAAATTTCTTATCAATTTGGGTCTTAAAAATCTACTCTAAAAATACAATGTCAAAGATAAATATTCTCCTTCCAATTCCAATTCTAACATATATACCAAAAATTTGATGCAATTTCAGGAAGTTTTTGAAACTTTTATATCCTTTTGTGGATCCATTATTTATGAAATATGGTCATTATTTAGAGGTAAAATTAATGAAGTAATATAATATTCAAAAATATGATTTTGACAATTATTTTGTTATTTAGAAGTTTATAAAGGAAATATATAGCCAAGACAGTTATCACCAACCAAAGAAATACTTGATCTTATTTGAAGCATTACTTCCAAATCACAAAGGAGAATTTTAGGAAGTTAGAGTGGTCATCAATAGAACTCCATCTGTTGCCTCATTTTCCATCTTCTTGCTAGCTGGGCCTTATGCATCAATCATTTCTGCTGAAAATCAGAAAGTCCTGCCTCAGAATTTATAAGACCAATGAATAAAAATCCCTATTCCTTAGTGTCAAATTAATAAATACATTTATACTAAAAAGATGAACTCCCAGATACAATGCAGGGGAAAATAGAGCACCCTACGACAAAGTTACCTAGACATCTTCATTTCAATTAAGTGTGAGTTCTCCTTCTAAAGTGTCTGTAGAAGGAAATATGAGGAGCTGAGAAACCAGGATAAAGACCACCTCATTTTAAAAGCTGGTCTGAGGATAATACAAATTATTCCTGATTGTCAAAAGTTTTTCAAGTTTAATGACCACATAGCTGTACTCCCTAGTTTCTTTCAAATGAATACATAGGAGTTGAGCTGAGTCACATGTTACGTGTATATTTACCTTCATAATCAACTGCTTAACGTGACTATACCACTTTATATATCACCAGTAATGAATAAGAGAATGCTTGCTGTTCATTTCTATATTTCATACATATTTTGTACATGAACTTTTATGGGTATATGGTTTAGAAATAAAACTGGCTTGTGAATATTTTCTCCATTCCCGTAGTTGACTTTTCATTCTGTTGAGTGCTTTGTTGTGCAGAAGCCTTTGAGTTTCACGTAGTTCTGTTTGTCTATTTTTGCTTTGCTGCCTGTACCTTTGGTGTCATAGCCAAGTAATCACTCCCAAGGTCAAAGTCAAGATTTTCCTGTATGTTTTCTTTGAGAAGTCTTATGATTCCAGATCTTAGCTCTATGTCTTTAACCCATTTTGAGTTTTTTGTGTATGTAGCTGAAGACAGGGGTTTAATTTCATTTTTATGCTAATATCACAATATTTTCATTCTTCACTGTTGAGTTATAATATATTTTGGCATTAGGAAGTGTGATGCTTCCAGATTTGTTCTTCATGCACAAAATATCTTTAGCTTTTTGGTATCTTTTGTGTGTTCCTTGTAAATTTTAGGATTTTTCCCCCCTGATTTGATTTAAAAAAAAGTACTTTTGGGATTTTAATAGAGATTTAATTGAATCTGTGGCTCATTTCTGATAGTGTGAACATTTTAACAACATTATTATTCTATTGTGTCTATTTTAATTTCTTTCATCAAAGATTTTATTTTCGGTGTACAAATTTTCCAACTCCTTGGATAATAAATTCATCCAAGTATTTTATCTAAGTATTTTATTCTTTTGGAAACTATTATACATGGGATTGCTTTATTAATTTCCTTTTCAATTACTTAGTATATAGAAATACAACTGATTTTTTATGGTGATTTTGTTTTCTGCAAATTTTCTGAATTCATTTATGTGCATGTGTATGCGTGTGTGACAGGGTGTGTGTGTGTGGGTGGGGGGGGCTCTGTATGTGTGTGTAGTCTGGATCATGTCATCTGTGAATAGAAATAGTTTTATTTCTTCCTTCCAAGTTTGGATGATTTTTCTTTATTTTTATTGCCTTATTTCACTTATCAGGACTAATATGAAGAGAAGTCATGAGAGAAATATGGAATTTCAGTAATACTCTGAATAGAAGTGGTAAAAGTGGCAACCTTGCCTTGTTTCAAACCTTAGAGAAAAAGCTTTAGGTTTTCAAAACTATGTTACTTGTAGGCTTTTTATATGTGGCCATATTGTGTTGAGACAAGTCCTCTCTATACCTAATTTGTTGAGGATTTTTTTATTAGGAAAGGGTGTTGAATTTTGTCAAATCTTTTTTGTGTAATGCAGTGTATCATATTTATTGATTTACTTATGTTGACCCATCCTAGTTTCCCAGGATAAATCCCATTTGGTCAAAGTGTATTCTCTTTTTACTGTATTACTGAATGAATTTTGCCAATTTTTCATTGAGGATTTTTGCATCTGTTCATCAATGATATTGGCCTGTCTCCCCACCCCCTTTTTTGGGGGGGTGTGTGTGTGTGTGTGTGTGTGACCTCTCTTTGGCTTTGGTTTTCAAGATGATGCTGGCTTAAATAAGAGTTTGATAGTATTCCCTTTTCTTCTATATTTTGGGAGAATTTAAGAAGGATTGGTATTCGTTCTTTAAATATTTTGTATAATGTACCTGTGAACCAATTGGTCCTGGAATTATCTTTGTCATGACTTTTTTTATTACTGATTTAATCTCCTAACTTGTTATTGGTCAGGCTTTCCATTTCATCTTACCTAAGTGTTGGTAGGTTGCATGTTTCCTCTAATTCATTCATTTCTTCCAGGTTTTTCAGTTTATTGTTGTATAGTTGTATATAATAGATGCTTTGGAACATTCCTCACTCACCCCACCCTCCCAGTATCAAATGTAATGTTTCTTCCATTTCTGGTTTTATTTATTTGAGTCTTTACTCACCTTTTTAAAAAGTTGTTTAGATAAATGTTTGGTAATTTTATCTTTGTAAAGAACCAACTCTTAGTTTTGTTGATTTTTTTTCTCTTATTTTTCTATTTAGTATTTCATTGTTTTCTGATTTATTCTATTATTTTCTTCCATTGCTGCATTTGGCTTAATTTTTTCTTTTTCTATCCTTGGTGTATAATGTTAGGCTGTTTATTTGAGATCATTCTACTATTTAACATTTATTATAAAATTCCCTATTGGGATTGCATTTACTACATACCTGAAGTTCTAGTTTGTTGTATTTTCATTTTAATTTGTCTTGAGATATTTTGTAATATCTTTCTTTTACTTCCTTTTTTCAGCTTTATTTGGGTATGAATGATAGATGAAAATTGTATATACTCAAGATATATGCATGATGTTTTTATATGCACATCCATTGTGAAATGATAACTAAAATCAAGCTAATTAACATATCCATCTCATAAGATAGTTACCTGTATGTGTAGTGAGAATACCTAAGATCTATTTTCCACAAATTTCAAGTACTCAATAATTATAGACACATTTTTATACATTTTCAGATCTTGTTCATTTAATAACTGAAAGTTGGTACCATTTGATTAATATCTCCATATTTCTCCACCAACCCCCAAACTTGGAAATCACCCTTCTACTCCTTGATTCAATGAGTTTAAATGTAAATTATATCATGTGGTATTTGTCTTTCTACGTCTCACATATTTCATGTAGCACAATGTCTTCCACATTCATCTATCTTGTCACAAATGGCAAGAAACTCTTGTAAATTAGAGTAACATTCCTTTTCATATACATGCTACAATTTATTTGTTAATCTGTTGACAGGCTGTCTCCATAACTTGACTACTTAGAATAATGCTGTAGCACAGATATCTCTCTAAGATAATGATCTTATTTCCTTTGATAGCATGGTTTATCACTTAGGAACTTCCACACCATTTTCCATAGTGACTGTATAAATTTAGATTCCCACCAATAGTATATAAGGGTCCCATTTTCTATACATTTTCTAAAGCACATAATGTATTTTTATTCTTGATCAGAAGCATCCTAACTAGTGTGAAGTGGCATTTCATTGTGATTTACAGTACACTGATAATTTGATTTATATTTGCCTGATAATTAATGATTGAGCAACTTTTCCTATACTATTATCCATTTGTATTTCTTCTTTGGAAAAATGTCTGCTCAGGTTCTTTATTGATTTACAACTAGGTTATTATTATTTTTTCACTGTTTTAATGTAAGTTTCATATATATTTTGGATATTAACCCCCAGCCAAATGACTTTCACATATTTTCCTCCAATCCAGGCTTTTTGCCTTTTAATTTCGTTGATTGTTCCCTTTGCTGAGAAAAACATTTTAGTTTGATATAGTTCCACTTAGTTTTGCTTTTCTTACCTGTGCTTTTGATGTTATGTCTCAAAAAATCAATGCCAAGACTACTGTCATGGAACTTCTCCCCTGAGTTTTATTCAAGCGATTTTACAATTTCAGTTAAAATTAAATTTGCTTTATTTTGAGGGTTTTGGGGGTATGATATAAGATAAGAATAAAATTTCACTGTCTTGTGTGGGTATCCAATTTTTTCAGGCTATCATTTCCCTATTATGTATACTAGGCACCTTTGCCAAAAATTGGTTCATTGTATATGTGTGGGTTTATGCTGGACTTTCTATTCTGTTCCATGATTTTATATGTCAGTTTTTATGTCAATACTATTCTTATTAATTTTTATCAATTATTTTAATTATATAAATGTATGGGGTACCATGTAATAATAATACTTGGATACAGTGTGTAATGATCACATCAGGATAG